AATTTGACTGTTTTTTTCGTCTCCATAAACTAGCTTTGCATCTTTTTTTCTATTTTTTTCGTGCTGAATACTTGAAAAGACTCATAAGCATTTAATCTTGCATGTCTGATGTTCTTGGAGCACGCAGGTGCACAAATTTCGAACGAGGAAATTTCCAGAACTCTTTATGAACGAAAAAAAGACCCTAACACAGACGTTATCATAATGTCAGCCACTGGTGGTTTTTTGTGGACCACTCTTACTACCTTCACCAGGAAGCACAGTCAAGAAAATTCCGATTAAGCGCCTAATTTGCCGGATCCAAAATGGCTACTGATTCACTTTCGCCTATTACCAGCGGAGCTCTCAGAATATTTTCCAAGGGGTGAGAGGGGAGCGACAAAATCCTTTACGAACAACTGGGCGTTGCTTTGGCAGACCCTTTGGGAAAAAATCATGGATTGTCTTTCAAAATAATTGCGGCAGTGAATTTTTTTTTCACAGAGCTCATTTAAGTTGTTAAAAAAATCCAAAAATTATGTGCAAATGGGAAAAAATAATTTAGATGATGCTTTTTCATTTACTGACATTGTAGATATCATGGTCGCCAAGTATTTGCATGTCATACAAACAAATTTTACGTTGTTTATATCCATACTTACGATTGACGTTTCCAATCCAGACATCATCGTCATTCTGAAATCCTTGACAAGTTATGAACAACCCCAGTAATTAATTTTATTCAACGGCGTTCGCAAACAACAATTTTGTGGTAACAACGCGCGATTTCTTATATTCACACACGTCGTGTGAATTTTATTATATAATATCAACGATCACTACGGCTGAATAATCAAATTCATCTATAGTTTCCTTTATAATTCATAAATACAGCAAGTTTTTCATCTATGCAAAAAAATAATTAGTAAGAGATAGGCTATATTTATACATCATATAATACTAAGCAAAGAATCTCTCATCTTGACAAAGCGCCTACAGTCTGTCCCAATCCTAATGGGCCAAAATGGCGGAGTGAAAGTTCACGTCGCTAGAATTTTGCGTCACGGCTACGGCCTGTTTGTCTGCTTTCTCTTCAATCTCTTCGCTTCCATACCCGCTCATGACTAGTCAAAACGCCGGACTTCACCGGAGTTCACCGAAATCTGCGTCGCATCTCTCTTGATTCAGAGTGGATGATTACTCAACCTAAGGAATGCATTTGACTCCTCGGCGAGGGCATTTTTAGATATATGAAAGTGCTCGTTTACGGTAGTTGACGGTTGGCGGGTGTTTACACAAACATTTTTAGATTTTTGCCTGCGGTAGGTCACTCGGAATGTAAGCAAAAACGCAATTGCAGCTCAAATATTGTCTGCTAGTTTGGGATATTTTGTGGAAACTTACACACATAAAGTGATGAGAGCATCAGACAAAATAATCGCATGAGTTATTCCATTCTAATTCCCCACCCACTCCCCCCCCCCCCCCCCCCACAAAGTCGTTGCACTTGAATTTGCTTCCAGAAAATAAGCCTAAAACCTTCATTAAGTGTGTCTTTTTAGCAGATATGTGATCCACTCATTTTGTTGACGCTTATACAAGCTACTGAGAAATTGTCACTCTATACCCCTGTCATCAAAAAAATAGTCTACAGCATCGGTCCTGCAGGATTGTCCTGAAATTGCAGAACATGAAGCCATTTCCATCGTTTTAGCCAGCGGATCTCCTCAACAGGCTTTGAATGCTTTTGCATGCTGCAGTTTGTTGGCTTTTTCTCAAATCAAACAAATGTTATGCGCATCGATTTATAGGAGGATTCTCCACAAAAATAGTAAAATAGAGAATTTTGTAATATGCTGTATTTAATTCATCTTGCATGCGAAAAGGAAGATACCCTTTGATTCTACTGGCATGGCGTCTGCAAGGCGGGGCTTCGTGGCCTGATTAAGGCTAGATAATGATTAGACAACAAGCGCGCGAGGGAGGCGCAGGCTGAACGGGCACGAGCGGCCTAAATTAGGGTCAAAGTCCCGCCTTCTAGCCGCCAAGCCAGTTGAATCAAAGGTTAGTTTCGCGTTCTTGAGATCTTTTAGGTACAGTGCGCCTAGTCGCTACTTCTTTAGTACTGTTAGTATATCACAGTCATCAAACTATTGCAACACTAAAATTGATTGTCTGTTGATCTTCGCGGAAAGGACGTTGGCGAAGTCTGTAACCCACCTTTTTATAACTCGATCACATTTCTTGAAAAATGCATCTCAGTTATGATAGGGACAAGCACAACCTTCGCTTTCAAGCTTCAAATTCTATTTTGACTTTGAAACCCGAACCAGGTAAGTAAGTAAGATCTATTCGAGTGAATTTTACAGTAGAACCCTATTCCACTGGCCAGACCCGTATTTTAAGATTTCGTTTTCACTTACTTCAAAATGGACGTTTTGAGTGTCCAAAAGTGACAAGCTCTGTAAGTGTCTAGTGAGGGTAATCCTAGCCTAAAGCCCTTCTCATTTTTTGAACTTCAAGCCGAAAGCGCTCGTCTTTTTGTTGAATTCAAATGCGTCCTAAATTAGGTGAAAATTGGTAATTTGCTTACTCATATTGGCGGTTTTTGAAAATTTGTGTACGAAAAAAAGTGCGCCTCAGCAAATGTTATACTGAGAAAATTTCGCGATCGATTTTTTACCACGCGAATTTACATTTAAAAAAGATTGGTGAAATTTTTAACGAACATCAATATTTCAATACATGACGTGAGCAGCCAAGTGGAATGTGATAACAGCATAAGAAAAAAATTCATTTTACGCTAGTTCTGCTATAAATTTTTACCACGCAGAAGGCCAAATAGTTGTGCTGTTGCTTACTCATCCTCAATTTCTTTGATAAGTTTATTATCAAAAGGTACAACAACAACATAATTTACGACGGTATGAATAAATTCATGACTAGAGGATTTCTAAAAAGCTAGGAGAGCATAAAAATATGTTTTGTTTCTCATAATTTCGTAAATATTCCCATACAAGCCGTTGTTTACTGCTTCATAGTTCATATGCATTGTCTGTGAGAATTGCAGGCTCAATGGCTCAATCATGGCTCATGTATTTTTGCATAATTCGGTATTTAGAGCAAGGTGCGGATATCAAAAGAACACTGTGGAATCATTCAGCATAAAAAAAAGAATTTTAAAAGTATCTACGTAAATACTTTCAAAATGGTTCTAATTTGTTTCAGTTCGCTGTCGACGTTGTTCCAGTCTGTAACTGGTCTGACAGGCACAACACTTGAAATAGCCGATTCTGACACTGAAATCTGAGCGAGTATAACTCTGGTGTTAAGTCGGCTAGCAAAAATCAAGTCATTTTTTTCTCCCAATTTTTTCCCATTCTGCCAAGTTAAAGACTGTGTCTGCTTCAGCTATGATTTTTGCTACGGACTTTTTCATCTATAGCGATCTATTAGGATGAACAAAGTCACTTTCAGACAATCAAAATTATGAAGCATTTGTTCCAGTGCTACTTTTCGATTCCAAAACGTGTGCCAAATGTAGTTTGCTGAGGTGACCTTGCTTGGGGACCTTAGTCAGTTTGCTCACGTTCTGGTCGTTGAATTGTTTGAAAATGTTGTGTTCATGGGACGGTTTGCTTGACAAACTGGTATATTTGGGCCGCTCTGGTAATGATTGAGACAGCTAAATCTTTCTCTCAAACTTCTCTATCGGAATATCAAAATAGTTGTGATGTTGCTAGTGATGGACAGCTTCTCAATCTTGAACCTTCTAAATGCTTGGGAACTGTAAACGAATGCTGGATTGTCTTATGAATCACTTCCCAGTCGAGAAATTACCAAATATTCTAGTGGGTTATTTTTCCATAGGTTTGGCGAAGTTCATCCTATTTTAGAGGAGAGCCACGAACAAATCACTGCGTTCAGCATTTGATTTCATGATTGGTAGAGTATCTAACTACTATTTTATGTACTATTTTATACTATTACCATACTATTTCACCATAATTTCAGTACTTTTATATTACTACCATACTATTTTGTCTGCACTATCATAGTTCCTTTTAGCTGTCATTAACCACAATTGCTGGATGTATAACAAGGTTGCTGGCTGTTCCGATTGTTGTGAATCACATCAGTTCTAGCACCCTTGATCAAGATTTTTCGTTATATTTTCTCTCATGAAAATTTTTAGAGTGGCTTAATGTCATTTACGCATCTAGACCCCTCTCAACATGTTCCGTTGGTGAAAGAGGACGATCTTGAAGGATAGGCAGCCACACTCTTTTAAGCTGATTTTGACATATGGAATCTCCAGCTATTTGGGCCGATAAAGATACGTGAGGTCTCTTTTATTTCCACCCAATCCCACAGCCGTTTGGTTCGTCACAAGTTGCACGAATTAATTGACGTTCTACTGTACATATGTAGCTATGTTGTTGAATTTTGATGAGTTTTTTGGTTTTGCATGTAATTTTTACCTACGTTTTTCTTATTTTCTGAAAAATCATTTGCAAGGCGAGTGCTTTATCACATTCCTGACAATCAAATTTTTTTCACGCTCCCTCTCTTCCCTTCTCGCATCCTATGCTATTATATAACTCAGACTGTGCGAGGTACTATATGTCCCCGAAAAGACTGTGCAAGGTACTATATGTCCCCGAAAGGGAGCGGTCCCAGCGATCATTTGCAACGAAAATGCACCCTTGTGCATGCACGGTGGTGCGCTTCAGCAAAAAGTCCGCGCGGGACCCTCCCACATTCGGCGACATGTAGTTCACTATCCAGACTGTCACAATAAGATTTTCGCCAAAAACTGATGTCAGTCTTTACCACACTCATCATATACATCATAAATTAGGATCAGGATTGTCTGCGAGGTCGTTTTCTCCTGAGATACTTTCGAATTCGCTTGATTCCACAGAAGAGTCATCTGAAATGGACATCGATTCAGACGAAGAAAAAGAACCTTTTTTGTCTCTTCAATGAGCTAATCTCGCGCTTCATTCTTTTCTTCGAATATGGCGGAACCAGGCGCGCGTCCGGCTCATTGGAATCCGTTCTATCCACGTCAATGCCCTCCTTCTCACCTAAGCGAATATGAAGAGGTTGCCTACTTTTACAACATGCAACTAAGTATGCCCCTACCTCTTTGATCCTACCATTTTATCTCCCATATTTCCTTGAATGTGCCTTTAGTTGGGACCAGCATTTTTCCACTAGATCCAAACAGCAGTAGAACGGCGGAAATCGAATGAGGTTAATCTAAACTCCGCGTATATTTGCTCAAAGTTATAAAGGCGTGAAATGTCCACTCTAATTTGAGCTTACAAATTGTTCAACCGAACGAAAATCTACAAGCGTTGCTACTTGGCTAATAATTAGAATCTCCTCTTCCACAATCTCAGCTTTGCTCCACGTGCACCTTCTGAATCCAGGCAGTCTATGATAAACGCCTTGCTCCACCTCGATGTAGGCACGCTTTCAAGCTGCCTGGAGTGGTATGGATCATTGCCCATAATCATACTAACACGTGCACGCAGGCCCACGTCAGCATGTGAGGGATCGAATCCCTCAACCACCCTTCAAAACCATTGTGATCCATATCCTAATGGTAATCAATATCACCCGCTCTACGGCCACTCAAGAATATTTTGGACCAACCTAAAACACACCATTCTCTCCAAGTGCAGCTATCACGATCGCGCGATGCCCCTTGTTTTCCCGCCGTCCTTCCAAAAGAATAACGCTCCAGCACTTCTCAATAAGCAAATCGCGGAGTTTTCTTACCGTTCCTCCTTTTCTTGACTATGCCCCCATCAGGTTCATCCATCTTGATAGGGCGTTCCTCTTTTTCTCTAGCCTCTGCCACTAAGCGCAGGTATTTTTTGCGCTTTCGGAACGAGATACTGTGTTTCAAAAATAAATCTCACCCCAGTGTTCTTCATCTATAAAAAGCCGAGTGCTTTTATGAGACGATGGAGCGTTGTGCGTGACACCTTGAAATTTTCATAAGCTGAGCGCAAGTCTGCGTGGAGTTGGCGACGGTCACCTCCTCTTCATTTCTCAGTTTTTGATGTATAAGCTCCCTTATTCGCTCGCCTCAAACCACTCTAGACCTCTTCAGCGCCTGTTCTCGTCTTTGTTTGCGCGTTACTTCGAGCTCTTCCTGGGCAGGGCAGCCGTTTGAATACGCTTCCAAACTCGCTCACTGTCCTTTTGGAAACTCCACAGACCACCGCTGGAGTTTTCTTGACTGAGCAAAAATTGCACTTGCGGGCGTACTATCCACTCTGACTTTCGTATTTTCGAGAGGTCTTCAATTGTGCTATGATAGTACGACCGTCTGTCTTATAACTCTCAGGACGAGGAAAGGAACCCCTATTCAAATACATATCGCCCCCAGGTCCACTACTAAATGTGACAGGAAGCGCTTGAAAACACGTTTCCCTTAAATTGTGCGGATTACGCTCGCGAACAGCTTAGCCAATGCCATAGCGGGAACGACAGGATTGGAACGAGCCTATCAAGTTTTGTACTGGTGAACACCAATATAAAAACCGCAGATTATGTTTGAAATACTTACCTCGTCGGAATCCAGGAAGTCTCCAGTTATCTTGGCTAGGAACATTGTGGGATCAGCAAAGGATCCATGTGATACATTTACTGCTAATCCGATTCCTTTAGACAATTTCCTGAATACTTCGTGTTCATCGAAAACCTTGATAATTACTTGCGAGAGAGCGAACAACGGATTGGGAAGAAGAAGTCTTCGGCGACTAGAAAGGAATATGAGCATGACGGTTGAGGATGAAACGTCCCATCAGGGCGGGGTGAACCAACAAAAGCGCGATGGAGAAGTGCGGCCGTCGCATCAGAGGAGGTCTGGCTAAGGACTAAAAAATGAACGAAAGAAAGAAAAAGAGAAAGAAACGTTTCAAGGGAACTCTCATCTCATTTTTAATGAACGCAACCATCGCCTTACACATTCTCATGATGTTCCTGAGAATATGAGTCCGACTGAAAACAGAAAAATTTTTAAAAATGTTTTAGTTGATTACTTACCTTCAACAGCTTGAAACTAGCTTTTTTCAGATTTACAGAAACATACGCAAATGCGGGTATGAAAGAAATTACGACCACCTAAAAAAATAGACGATGACATTGGTTTTTAAATGAACTAATGCATTAAAGCGAAGGAATTTTACAGGAAGGAAACGACATTATGTGAAATTGCAGCAAAAGTAACGTGGGAGTATGCCAAGATAAAGGATAGTTGGAAATAAGCATACTGTAGTCCTGCTGTTGTCAGTATGCCGCGCATAAGCTGCGTTCATACTGATTTCGAAATCCGGGAACAGTTCCAGCACAGGGCTCAGTTCGAGCGCTGTACTTGAACTATTCCCGGATTTCGAAATCAGTATGAACGCAGCCATAAAGTCTTATTTTTTGGAGCGATATGTATTTCACTGGATTGAAAATGGTGTCTTACAGTAAGAATTAGGGCTTAGCGAGCCCTCAGCGTTTTTTCCAAATTCTTCAATACCATCATAACGTGAAAATAGGCAGAAAGATTTGACCTACACAACGCATACAGCGACAAAAGCTAACGTTCATGTTGGCTGCCCTTTAATTAACATTATTAGATAAAGCACTGTCTTTGATTGACAGCACCTCAGAAAAACGGAGGCATAACGTTTCAAAGGAAAAAATTACATTTAAATAGAAATTTTGGAGGAGATTTCAGAGTTGATTAATTTTTTGTTCAGCAACAGTAAGACGAAAAAATACGACGCTACGATAATCGCGCGCGGGTAGCAGTAGTGCAGAAAACTTGTCAGATTCATACTCCTAGTTTACCAGTGCTTTTTATTATCAGTCTTCTACATTCTTGAGTTTGTGTCTTTTTATCGTCTAAAGGGCTAATCTTATAAGTTTTGTGGCAAACTCGAAATAGCCAGTGTACCTTAACAAACTATCTGAAATGTGTGCTGCGAATCATGCTGGCAGAATTCCCCGAGTGCGTGACTGGTAGCCTGTCGCGCACGATGTTTTTCAATTGACGGCCACACGTAACGATACCCAAGAACAAGGTACAAAATGCACATTTACAATCACGATATATGCAGCAAATAATTATGCGATAGTTAACAGAAACAGTTCTCAACATTCATTATGCTTGCAATTTGCTGCAGATTGGCGGGCATACCCATCTATCACAATCCAGCTCAGGGTTCGGCACGAGCTGGCACCAGGGAAATTCCGAAACGAAGTCCCGTTTGATCTTGTAAATTTCGTACGAAGTCCCCTTTGACCAGTTTTGAAGACAAGTCATTATTTTTGTATTTTGTAAAACTATGTAGTAGGGTTTTCATGCTTGCTGATTTTATGGAACCACTTTTCACAAATTTCTGAGCTTTTTATGTGGTTGAATCACATCTTGAGAAGCAGAAGAAGCCGATTTTTCGATTGCGGAGCTGAATGAGTAATTTTATCAGGTTGTCCCATAAGTTCCGTCCGTTTCAACTTTCAATCACAATAAGTCATGAACTTCTTGGTTTTAGACAGGCGTCAAGGTACCATTTGATAGAGCAAAGCAAGCTCTACAAGATAACTCTCTTGCTTTCGCACTAGTTTGAATCCATCTCAAGTTCGAAGCCAAAAACCAAAAAGATCCAACCGCCCGAAAAATAAAGAAAAAGTCGTAACTTCGTTTAGAAAAATCCTAGAAAATTTCTAACTTGCTCACAGATACCCTATCCACATCAGACGTTTATATATACTGTTGCTGTATTTTTTACTTAGATAGAAATCGAAAAAACGAAAATTTTCGTTTTCTCGATTTCTATTTAAGTAAAAAATACAGCAACAGTATATATAAACGTCTGATGTGGATAGGGTATCTGTGAGCAAGTTAGGAATTTTCTAGGATTTTTCTAAACGGAGTTACGATTTTTTCTTTATTTTTCGGGCGGTTGGATCTTTTTGGTTTTTGGCTTCAAACTTGAGATGGATTTAAACTGGTGCGAAAGCAAGAAAGTTATCTTGTAGAGCTTGCTTTGCTCTATCAAATGGTACCTTGGAATCTGTCTAAAACCAAGAAGTTCATGACTTATTGCGATTGAAAATTGAAACGGACGGAACTTATGGGACAACCTGATAAATTTGCTATAAAACGCTGGAAAGACGTTATGAAAATGTTTCTTCTCTGTGTGTAAACTTTTACAGTGTAGAAACATTTTATGTAAAAAAGTATGAAAACTTATGTGAGCAAAGTGTCGGTGCTAGCTCAGCTGGCACCCAGCTGGCACGGTGCCAGCTAATTTTAGAAAAAAGTTCGGCACAGCTTTCATTCACATAAGTTTTCGTAAATTTTTGGGCTATAGTTCCGGTCACACAACGCGCATGCACACCCCAAATTTGGTGTCATACTATTGCATTTTGGCTGAGAACGAGGCCTTTGTTTGTTGATGGACAGCTTGCCGGTGGCATGCCGGCGGCATTCTTGCGGCACTTCTCCGCCGCGGACCCCGAAAAAAGGATATCCCCTTTGCTTTCCGCCCTAAAAACGATATCCAGCGTGACCCGTTGCCAGCTGTGCCGAGCCCTGATCCAGCTTAAAGGCAGTGTCCAGGCAAGTCTGAGCGCATGGGTTTTTTGCCTAGAAATTGATGAGGGAGCCATAACAAAGGCACTGCCCAAGGGCAGCGCAAATCGCTCAGGCTGAGAAATCCGTCGCCGAAAATCCACCTGCGCCGTGACCATGACCCGAAAACGATTTCGCTCAGTTTAACACTACCTTCGCGCTGGGACCCATCCTTAGTGTTACGGTCACGGCGCAGCCGCGGGGTGTTTAGGGATGGATTTCTCAGCCGTGAATGAATGATTTGCGATGCCGTTTGGGCAATGCCTTAACTAAGACCCCCTTGACAGTTTCCATGCAAGAAACCCATACGCCCAGGTTTGCCTGGACACTACCTTTAAAGGCAGCGTCCTCTCGAAATGATGGGTACCGGGCATAGTGTTCCAATGTTAGACCCTCCAGATAGTCTTTATGAAGTCTAGAGCGAAAAAGCGTTTCTGAAAAGCCCAAAATTCGCTCCGAAAGTTTGCCGGACTCCGCCCACTTCTTACACGTAGCTTAGAGCGAACTCAGACACGGAGCTTCGAGAAAAGTCATTTTTGCCTATTCTAAGTGCTGAAAGGCTCGAATATGACTTCAGCATGGCGAGAAGGCTCCGAAGAGATGAAGAACCAAAGAGCGAAATTTCGCCGGGACACTGCCTCTAAAAAAAGTATTAGGTCGTTTCAAAAGTAATTTCGCTTTTTTCAAACGGGCGCCACATTTGATGGAACAAAGATTTCTAAGAGATCTTGGAAGCATTCGATGCAGAATTTCATTCTCTTTCCAAAGATTATGAAATTGTTGCAAAACAATCAATGAGCTTTCAGAAAATAACCAAAATCTGCGACTTATGCTTTTTGACATGGTCAAGTTTCACGATTTTTCAAAACTTTCATATCGATCCTCGGAAGGAGTTGAAGTGACGATTCCATAGAGTAAACCTTATAGAATATAGCACTACTTTTTTGTCCTCTCCATAGCTTGTCATACATTTTTAACAGAATTTTTACTGATGGTACCGATTTCCATACTGGGACAGCTAAATCCTCGTAGAACATCAACAGAAGAGCAGCTCGCGCTCTATTCGATGCAGCATTTTCTCCTCTTTCTAACAGATGTTTTTTGTTTTTGATTCGTTTAGTTTCCGGGGAGAAATCATCATAACTCATTTTTTTAACGAGCCCCAGGCTGTACCCGAAAAACTCGAAATCTGATATTTCGAACCCGTAAACCCTCACTTGCTTTGTAAAATTAATGCTAGCTTATAATACCATCTTGGTAGTTTCAAATTACGAAAAATTATGATGTTTGATGCGATTGTGGCTGAGGTGGGCCTGCCAAAATCCGATGGTTCTGTTAGAAAATCTTTTAAAAATTACGGCGAGCTCCGAGAAAGGGAAAAAAGTAGCACTGTATTCTGTAAGGTTTACTCCACCGAATCGTTACTTGAACTCCTTCTGAGGATTGATATGAAAGGTTCAAAAATCATGAAACTTGACTATCTCAAAAAGCATGGGTCGCAGATTTTTGTTATTTTCTGAAAGCTCATTGATTGTTTTGCAACAAATTCATAACCATTAGAAAGAGAATGAAATGCTGCATTGAATGCTGCCAAGATCTCTCGAGAAACCTTTATTTCGTCAAATGTGACGCCCGTTTGAAAAAAGCGAAATTACTTTCGGAATGACCTAGTACTTGTAATAATTAAAATAATTTTTAAAAAATTTTAACAATTCAATTTAGCCTTATAAAAAAAATTTTTTCGGGGGCGTTAAAATCTTGGGGTTATGGGCCCGCGAAAATTTTAAGAAGGGTACCAAAAATTTTTTCTAAATGCGTGGCTAACGCCTTGCACCTTCATTGAAAAAATTTTTTGTCCCCCCCCCCCGAGCCGAAATCCTGGGTACGCCACTGCTGTGAAGTCATCTTTACCTAAGCGAGAAAATCTGGCAGAATTCCTTGTTTTTTTTGGTTTTTCCCTTAGTGCGTTTTCGACACGTTCACTTGATACATTCAATATCTACTGCTCTCGTCTACATTTGCATAACCTCAAAAGTGCATTTAATCAAATGCTATTTCTCGACTTTTTGCTTTTCTCACCCCTTTTCCCAACATTCTGCAATGAAGCTAAAAAATATTTCAGGATGTCTCTCTTGGGTGCAGCTTGTCCCAAAAGAAAAATTGGTCAGGGCACGCCGTAAGTGATGAGCTTGCAGTGAATGGAACAGAGACCATAAGCTGATGCTAGACAACTTTGGTCTCCTGCGAGACATGAAACTAAAAATCAGGAATATTTAATAAAAGCAAAAGAGACTGAGTACTATTCCTTAATTGGAAAATGCCAATGCTTTTAATCAGCCGATGAAATCAGCAGTCGAATGGACTTGTGGCAGTTCCTGATTCCTTTAGTGAACTGCAGGTATGGGTACTAAAAAAACTGCTTAGCCGTAATTTGATGAGGATTTATGATGTACGAATGTTTGCACAGTGCAGTCAACTTTCCGTGAGCTCAAAATTCAGTCCTGTTTTGTTTAGTTATCCTTAACCAATAATTTAATCAACCCACATCAAATGTACTTGCTACATACGTTTCATGAATGCAATGGCACTGTTTATGCAGTTCAAGACAATGAATTGTTTGGAAATATATAAACGTTACATTCAATTTAGGTGATAATTTCTTACGACATTCGTAACTTCCACGTTTTGCAGATCATAATCTTAGAAGCTTGTGCACGTTGCTTTCCGATTCCAGTGGCTCTATCGTTCCATTTATATTCTGAATGGTAGGATTCTACGTAGTATTGAAGTTCAGTAGCGTTCCACCAACGAACCCAGTGGGTTCCGGGATCAAGGCCCAGCACGAGGATGGCAATTGGACATCGGTGAAAAGACTTCGCCTTTGTCACTCGACTCTTACGACTTCTCACTTGATTCTGCCATCGTAGATTGTTCGGTAAAAGCGCATTTTCTTCCTTCAAAAGAAAGGCGCCGCTGCTGTTCCGGTCCTGAAAAGGAGGAGAGGAGTTTCGAAATCAAGATGTTACCATATACGAAACTTTAGGAGTAGAACAAATTTATGTTAGATTTTAAACAACTTCTGTGAACTGCAAATTTTGTCTAACTCAGGTAAGCACGTGGGCATTTGCCCACTTAATCTACAAAAAAATTAGGCACACTCCTCATTCGTATGGGTTTTGTATAATTCTTCATGCGTTGCTCCTTAGCCGCACAGCGTGTATACACACAAAATTTCGTGCTAGGTCGTCATCTGTGCGTGGCAAGCGAGCCACTTTATCATTTTGTGGTAAAAGGGAATTTCCAAAGAAGCCTCATTCGCATAAATTTTTGATTTTTCACACTTTTTCACACAACAGCTTTGCACTATGCTTCTCAGTGTACGATATCGCCTTCTCTCCAACCAAAACGATTTCGAATCTGACATTTGCCTACCTCGTGCCGGGCTCGGGATAAAAAAGTTTAAAATCAGCTTTTTAAGAGACATCTGGAGATAATTTCCCTCTTTACATGCTCAATGTGTCTAATAATATGTATGCTTCCATTCTGAACGTTAAACTTGTCAGGCCAGAATAAGCACTGAAACGAAATGAGATGTTACTCCCTCAAAAATCTGCACAAATTGATATAGGTACCTCATCATTACTGGGGTCGGTGTATTGAAGTAAAATAAGGTATGTAGGAGATCAAAATATTCTGATTCTCAAGACAAATGTCTCCGATCTACGAAAGATGAAACCCCTATAGATTGTTTGCCTTCCATGAATAAATTTTTGTTGTTCTCGATCAGAAAACACTCATTTTTTTAGGAGCGCATCCATCGCCAACGGAAATGAATTTGTCGCTGCTTTTGCTTGCACTTGAATTCTATGTTGTATATGGCGGGCTTTGGCTTCCATGTGGCATCTACTACGATTTATATAGCGGCCTCTACAGTCAACAGGAACAGGAAGAAGACGAGTTTGTTAAAACCATATTGTACCATTGTGGGAGAAGTCCTCTATAATTGTAGGTATTGGATGTGCGTACCGAGAACCGAAACGTGTTTAAAGGTCAGCGATCCGTGCTCACTGAATGAAACTCACTACTACGCAAAACGCAGTATTTGCGAAGGAAGATGCAAATCAAGAGTAGATTTATTCATTGAGCATCAAATATAGGCTAAGACTTGTAAAGGTGCTGACAATCGCCACCTAACCAACCAGTAGCTCACAACAGCACGAATGTAGACATTAACCAAAAATGCCTATGTATCTATTCTCTTTTAATGTTTTCAAAGTACGAAAAATGTTTCCTTCTTTCTAAGCCAGATTTTGTTCCCGACAAAAGGACGATTTCTTATAATTCTTCTTTGGCTTTTCTCGTTAAGTTTATTCATATGATGTTGTTTGTGAGCTAAATATTCATTTTTCAGTAAAGCTTGAAGTATTTGTGAATTTAAATCAACGAATCAGAAATTGCCACAGTAGAACCAGAAAGACGCTACATACCATGGATGAGATCACTCCGATAGGTTACCCGATATTTCAACAATTGTCTGTGTATGTGACATTTTGCGAACCATCAGCAAAGGAAACGTTCGTTCAGAATGCATTCAGTAAACTTCATCTCGTCTTTCTAAAGTCAGTCCACATTCAAAGATTTCAACCAAGCTCAAGTGATTGCAGAAAACCGCGGTGTGAGATTTTCACAATTTCTATAATTCTTACACATCACTTATTCTTCCACAGCTGACCAACTTTAGCAGCTCACCCTTTGTGAATTATTGCAACTGTATATCCCTTGCAAATTCCACCTCTGTGGAAAATCTTGCTTTTTTGGTTTAATAATTCTCCATTAAAATGGTCACTAATTTACCTCTTTGGAGAAAATGCAGTTAAACATAGAGTTGCGCTGACCTTCGAGACTTGGAGTGTTCTGCACGGAGTTTTATAAGATGTTTATTATATTAAGGTAATTGTTGCAAAAGCAGAATTTGTCCTGAGAAAAGGTAAAAACGCGACGAAACATTAGATATTATTGCGCTTGATATGGCATATAGACGGCGCAAGAACTTGGCCTTGGTGGAGAGTGAATGCGTTATGCTGTCAGTTCAACTAACAAAAAAAGTCGTATGATCTTCACCTCGATAAGCCTCCGTTTTTTTACGAAAACTGTTTACCAACAAAAGACTCAACTATCTGTCTATTCTCTTTTTTTGCCAACTCTTTTTCTATTTCTCTTTGTCTATACTTCCTTCTAAAATCCTCTCTTTCCTTTTCGTTTTCGTTCTGTTTCCGTCACACTACTTTTCTTTCTTCTTCTACTTTCCTTCTTTATTCTTACTTCTGTTTTTTTTCCTTCTAGCGCTTTTCATCTTGTCAAATTTGCGCGTGTTCGTCTCTTTTGCTGAGTTGCTTCCTAGTTCTTCTTTTTCACCAGCTTCTCCTCCTCTTCTTCTATCTTCTGAACCTACTGCAATGATAAATCCTTGCAGAGCCTTTTCCGTTTCTTTAGAGAGCATGGAGGTAGCGTGACAGTCTCGAATCCATACGAAAGAATAATTTTATCATTTGTGCATAACTGGAACAGCTCAGAATTATTGATGATCATTAACATCAAAAAACAACTTACATTGGAAACTTGTGTAACGACGCTGTTTACAGATTCGCTTACTTTACGGAACATTGAGCAGCAAACAGCAAACGATATAGGTATCAACTTGAATGAGGGCGTCGTCATGGCTCTCGCAAATGCTCAAAGATTAAGATTTGAGTCACTAATAGCCATACGGTGAACTGATTGTTTTGTGGCGAGTGCATAGATTTAGGTTTAGTGAATTACAATGGATATGCGAGGGTTTTGATGAGTTCAGTTCGCGGTGCAGTCTTTGTGCGGTCATATTCGTGTGTGAAAAAACGGTTTTTTTCTAACTGTTGTTAGAAAACTATCTGACATGAGGCTTGAAAATCTTATATCTCTTCAGAGATGATGAGTCTGGGGTGTTAACTAGCTGCTGCTTATCTCTAACGATAAGTCAGTAACTCATCTCAGAATCATCTTTTGCAAACTTCTAACGTCGAGCACAGGGCAGAGGCGCACTTAAATGAAGCGAAAATCTGCCCCGGGGAGAGAGTATATCCTTGCTGCGATTGCTAGAATGCTATCGATACCCATGAAACCGAACTTTGGGAGAATGTTTGGACTATAGAAGAAATCGAAAAATAGTCATAATGATTGTTTCTCCTCGTTTATAGCGGTTTTAACAATCCACTTTTGTTCTTGATCTGCAAGGGTGCACAATAAGAGGGCCTTCTAACAATGGCCCGTAGTAAACCCCCCATCAGTGCAACTCGACTGGTGCGGGCCTACGTGAACGTAGGACGCCTCAATCCAGCATCCAATGAGCTATTAATCCGGATGCGAATCGCTTTCTAATCATGATAATCAGGTATGTTTTTGAAAAGGAACACTTGAGCGGTTTAGTCGAACAGGTAAGCGACTGGAATTGAAAGCGCGCGACCATGGTTCAACACCGGCTAGCGCCATACTTTTGCTGTATCGTCTGATGTCTGTGATAGCGACCACTATCGCAAAATCAATGATGACCGCTGTCAAGGATTTCACCTAGCACATGCATGGATAAAACAAAAACACATTTTTGACGGAATTTCCATGAAAAAACTGAAATGGTTGCAACATGAACTCAATGAATCAAATCAATAAATTCTTGCCTTGAGCAGCTTTTAAAGGAAAGTCAGAAACTTTGCAAAAAAATCTGTTTTCTTCCTTTCCACGCCAAAATCAGCTGTTTATCAATTCCCTCCTTTCGGGCCCCGGTATTGTGCAGTTTTGCGCCAATTTTGTCCGCAGTTTTCACGATTTAATTCAAAGCTTCATAGCAGTTTACCTAGCAGCTATTCAGCTAAGATTTTTTCGTGAGAAAATAGCCTGAAGCCTTCGCTCTCAAAGTTCAAGTAGTCAAGGTTTTTTGTTGCCAGAAAATGACAGTTATACCTTTATATGATCAGACCTCTAAAGATAGCTTTTCTGATTTGCTGATTCTCGTTCCCAGCCGTATTGAGTACACAGGTGAGGATTGGGTGGTTGGATACACACAGCCTCCTTTGTCTAGATGGCGAACTACAATGGAAATTGTTACCTGCTTCTTTGCATTTCTGCGCTTAAAAATCTGAAAATTTCCAGGCATTTGCGCGTGAAAGTCAAATTTTGGGCATTCCAAATCACTCGAGTTTGACCATCTATGGCAAATGGTTAGATTTAATGATTGTTGTATGAGTACCGAATCTACATTTTACACCTGAGTTCAGTTCGTTTTTCGGAGCATGATTTTCTGGAAATTTGAAAAAATTCGACTATTCTTCTTTCATGCTCCATTTCGTTATTAGAAACATTATTTCTGAGGAAACAGAGTTAAACTTCCATTTTTCCTTAATCTGCTCTTTCCAATAGTTCTTTAAATGCACAATACATACAAATACATAATGCTTAAATACAAAAACTGATTTGTGACGCCTCCACAAACCGCTAAAAACGGCCGAACTTATTTTTCAGCCAACTTAATAGTTCTTTGAGGAACGAACTCATCTATACCATGCTCAAGATAAAATCGATAGACAAATCCTGAACTATGTATTTTCTTTTTTGAATTTGATGTTTTGAATTACGTATGTAAGCTAAATATTTCAATGTTACAAAAGTTACCACCCGGCTCACGTTTGGACTTTTTAGGAATGTTTTGGTTGAAAGCTCGAGTGATTCTCAGTGGTGTATGCCAGAATCGAGCAGATTAACCTAATACTATCGAATATCTTCGTGCTTTAGAAAGGCAGAATTACATCAATCTTTTTTCTTACCCGATGTTCCTTCACTATAGTTCTCTTCCACGTAGGAAGTCGTCTTCAGACTTGCCAAAGTGCAGAGAGGAAAGACTTTGGTAGCCCTCATTTGAAAAATTGAAAAGCACAATTCTCACCTCAAGATGTGGGCGTTGGGGGGCATGAGCATCTTTAGACTTTATTGGAAAATGAGGGATGTAGAAATATTCGATTGCAAATCCATGCTAAACAAATATCGTGGTATTTCTAAAAGTTTCTTTTAGCGTAAACGCGATATGCGAGAAAAATGAGTAGATTTAACACAAAAACAGCAACAAAGCTCTTATATCTAAGGGAGTGATTCACAAAAAGGAGCAAGAAGGAATACGTACAAAAAAAATGCAAAAAAGTTGAGAGCTTGCTCAAATCAGGTAAAAATGCTAATGTATCTTGCTACTTTTGCGCAGTTTCAAATTTCGGCGTCACGTCACGAAACAGCCTGAAACCCATTTAAAGCTGAGGAAGCTGTGAAGTTATCTTTACCTAAGCGAGGAATCTGGCAGAATTCCTTGTTTTTTTGGTTTTTCCCTTAGTGCGTTTTGGACACGTTCACTTGATACATTCAATATCTACTGCTCTCGTCTACATTTGCATAACCTCAAAAGTGCATTTATTCAAAATGCTATTTCCTGAATTTTGCCTTTTTCCGTTTTCCCAACTTTCTTGCAATGAAAGCTAAAAAAAGTATTCCAGAAAGTCTCTCTTGGATGCAGATGTCTCAAAAGAAAAATTGGTCAAGGTACGTCGCAAGAAGCTGCAGTGGCTGGAATAGGGACAAGCTGATGCTGGACAACTTTGATCTTCTCCGAGACAAACTAAAAATTAGAAATATCTAATAAAAGCAAAAAACTGATTATTACTTCTTGGTTAAAAAATGCCAATACTTTTAACCAGTCCATGAAATCAGCAGTCGAATGGACTTGTGGTAGTTCCTACTATTTTAGTGAACTGACAGGTGTGGGTCCTAAATATAATAATTGCTTAGCCATAATTTGATAAGGATTTATGATGTACGAATGTTTGCACAGTGCAGTTAACTTCTTGCGAACTCAAAATTCAGTCCTGCTTTGTTTGATTATCCTCATCCAATAGTTTAATCAACCCACATCAAATGCACTTGCTACATACATACATTTCATGACTGCTCGATTAGCGTAGCAGTAATGGCGCTGTTTATGTAGCTCAAAAACAATCAATTGCTAGAAAATATATAAACGTTGCATCCAATTTAGGTGATGATTTTACTACATTCGTAACTTCCATCACTTCCGATCATTATCTTA